TTTTGCAGGTCTCTGACACTGGAATGCTTGAGTTTAGAACAGGGGTGGGCAATAATTTTTGATGGGAGGCCACTCCCAAGATTTTTGGAAAGTGGTTGAGGGCCTTACTCTTCAATGGTATTAATGGAGGAGGTGCGGGGTCTGGGATGGAGGTTGAGTGCAAAAGGGAGCTTGGAGTAAGGGATGCAGGAGGGAGACGAGTCTGAGGGGGAGTTTGACTGAAGGAGGCAGTTGTGACCTAGGGCAGGGAACGGGGGTGCAGGGTTTTAGGATGTGACTTAGGGTAGGAGTGGATTTTGATCTCGGGCAGGAGATTGGGGTGCCAGATCTGGGAGGGGTATGGGTGCATGTGAAGTAGCAGGGCAGGAGTGGTGGTTAGAAAAGGGAGGGGCTGTAGTTCCAGAGGCAGATTCTGGCCAAGAGACTTATCAGCCAGCAGCCAAACCTGCCTGTCTGCAGAGCTAAAGGCTTGCAGAGCTTAAAATGTTTCTGCCTGCTCCATCATGTGCTTAAGTCAGTAACTGAGGAGGGGGGTTGTGCTTCGTGGCTGCCTATTATTCAGAAACTGGCCAATGGGATTGTCCTGGGGGCAGGAGCAGCATCTGAATCTTCTCCCTTGCCTCTGGACTCATAAAGAGAAAGCACCCCATAGCCAGGTTTCTGAGCCTATAGGGCAAGCAGGGGAACCTGCCTGGGGCTCTCCACTGTCTCTGTGGGCTGGATCTGGTGGCTTGGTGGGCCGAATCTGGCCTGCGGGCCATATTTTGTTCAAGCCTGGTTTAGAATCTTATATGGGAGAAGGGATAATGAACAAAACAAACTAGTAGGCCTACCATCTTCTCTAACTCTCACAAGCATGCCATCTTTCTTACTGCTCCACATGCCTATTTCAATATAGGTACATCTGCAGGAGAAATCTCTAGCACTAGAATGAAAGGAGGCATCCATTTCCCCCCCTCCCCACCTCCACTTTATGGAGCTGTTGCGCTGATGTGTGTCTTGCTCTGAATGGACTGCTGGCATCAAACCACCCTTTCATGCGGTTTCTGGAAGTGCTGTCTCCTGCAGGATGGGTTTCTGATTGTCATTTGAACAGCCACGAGTGAATAGTGGCGTTGTAGAGCCATCCGCATAGGTAGTTAGTATCTTGGACTCTGCTCTGTTTTGGAACAGAGCGAACAGCATGAGTGCTCAACTCTCACTTCCAGAGTTTGCTTTGGCTGTCTTTTCCCTCTGCTCACTGAGGCCTCTCCTCCCTTGAAGGGCACCCACTGGTCCAAGAGAAAATTAATTTCTGTCCCTATGGCAATGCTGGCAGCGTTTGACTCGTGTTCCAATAGCGTTTTAGAAACTCCTGGGAAATGAAGGGGATGGCAGTATTTCCTTCCAGTGCTGATGGTTGCCTCCATCCCACTTTGTCCCTATTCCAATTCTTATGGGACCTCTTAAGACAAGACACAACTGCTTGACCCTCTTGGAACCAGTAGTGCATCCTGAACTGTGCACCTGCGATAAAGGGTAAAGCAATAAGCAACCTTTGAAGGGAAGATAACCATATGAAATAACCTGCTTGTGTGCATCGCTAATGTTCATGGTACTGGCGGCCTTGCAAAGGCGTCATCTGCATGCTGTCGTTAGTCAGTGCTCTGTAAACAAACATCAGAGCCAATCAGCTCAAACGTCTGAGACAGCAATGCATCAGGCATGGAAAATGGACGTTTCCACTGTAGCCACAGTTGATGGCCGAGGAACACATCCACATTCCTAAAACTGAAATGCCCACCTGAAGAAGTGAAAAAACAGATTGTCAGAGCCAAAAAGGTACCAAGACATGAACTACTTCAAGACAGACCAAAAAGAGAAAATAACATAATTGCACTTATTACATATAGTCCACAGCTCAAACCCCTCCCATGCACTATACACAATCTGCAGCCCATCTTGGAAAATGATCCCTCGCTCTGAGGCCTTGGGGGGGAAAAGCCTATTCTCGCTTACACACAACCCCGCAACCTGAAACAAATTCTTTCCGGTAAACATGCTACACAACCACATCATAAACATCCAGGAACCCAGCCCTGGTGCCAACTCTGCCCACATATCTATGCAAGCAAATTCATTACTGGAGCTAACTACAAGCTACCAAATGGGGGGATCATTCAACTGCACATCCAGTAATTTGATCTATGCCGGCAATGCTCCACTGCTATATATATTGGACAAACTGGACAGTCCCTATGGGAAAGCATCAATGGACACACATCAGATATCCGCAAAGAGAACATACAGAAACCTGTTGGGGAACAACACTTCAATCTACCTAATCATTTTTTAAAAGATCTCCAGGTGGCTGTCTTGTCACAAACCAGTTCTACTAGTCAAATACACAGGGAGGCATTGGAGTTTCAGCTCATCCACAAATTCAGTTCTCACTCTGATCATCATCTCCTCAGTCCGGGCAATGGATGGCTGGGACATTACCAATCTAACATTCAGTGAAGGTGCCGACAGCTCTGTATGGATTCTTGTGTTAGTTCCCTTGGATCCTTATCTGCTTCCTTTTAACTATCCAGTCTCAGGTGCTTTAGGCACCAGCTCTGCCTACTTGGTTTTTCCCTTTGATATTTTCATTCCCTCTACTCCTTATTGACTGCCCTCTTCCCCCCCCCCCCTTTCTCCCCCCGGTCATCAGCTCATGATACCATCTACTTGTTTTTAGTCTTTAAAGTGCTACCTGGGCCTTAGGTTCCCCACCCCACTATATTAGTTTGTTTTGTCCTGAGAAAATTCCCCTTTATCATAAGCTTTAAAAAAATGTCCTTGCACCCCAGTTGATGCCTTTGTACGTGTGCGCGCTCTAAAACAGTTTGCTGCTGATGTTTTCTTTCTAGTGATGTAGGTCTAGAAAGTCCACCCCCCGCTTAACAATGACACAGTGTGGTGCTTTTGGGAGTCTGAGAGAGGAGCCCTTCCCTCCCCACACTCTCATTGTTTTCCACCCTTCGAGCTTTGCAGAGGTTAGCTAACCAGGAGAGCCTTCGCTGCTATTCTTGTCAGCGCTGGGTAGGGTTTATTCAAAGTTACCTTGGGGCTGATGCCATTTATGGGCAGCCGGATCTTTGACTCTGTTGGTTAGGCAGGTCACCTCGTGGAGGAACTTGCAGTGTAAGTAGTTTTTGGCAGTCACAGGAGAAGTGGAGTCCAGGAAGTTTGGACAAATATTGGTCCATCACGGACAAAAATGGTAGGAAAGGGTTAGGTAAAGGGTTAGGAAAGCAAAACTGGTGGTTGAATGAAATTGGAAAGAGAAGCAGTCTAGCTGTGAGCTGGGCGCGTCGTAGCTGAAATCAGACACCTGGCTGTTACGTGGAGCCAGAGTTGTGTCTAGTCAGGCACCTATATTGCCCTCATCACCCTGATACCCACCTCCAGAAATTAATTACCTGCTCTTGATTTTTCTGGCTGCTGGTTGAAGTAGTTTATTTAAGCTTTGGCTCATGAAAGTAAGGGTGCAAATTTCTTCCAGATCTTGTGGAACATCCATGACCCTTATTGGGATTCTGGTCCAGCCTGCCTTGTAGACCGAGCAGATGTTAAATCCTGTTGCTGTTTCCTTCTATCAATGCGGCTTCTGACCTTACATCTGTTGCAATGTTGTTTCTAGTTCTGGTCGCGAACGCTGCTCCCCTGTGGATTGACCATTGTTGGTATTGTAGGACTGGCTAGCATGTTTTTTCCTGCTCCTTTCTGGAAGGATTTCCTCTCTAGTATGTCAATGTTCATCTCTCGAAGGGGAAAATTCAAATGCATTTTGTAAAGTGCTTTGGCATGCTGTTGAGTTATGCTGTTCCCAGCTCACCAACCTGACCTACTGTGTGACCGGTTTTGATTTCATCTGTTCTTTTACACACATCCTTTTCAAAATACCAGTGCTAACTTTTATCTTCTTCTAACACATTCAGGGTAAGCTCATATTTTTTTCCAAAATAACTTTTATAGCTGTAGGAGCTTAAATTTTTTCATGATCATAAGAACTGTTGGCATACAGAGTGTATAAAATTCATTTAACTGTTCTTTGAAGGCTTCTGTCATGTGGAAGCTTCGGGAACTCCTTGGCACATGTTAGAGGGTTTGCTCAGAGGGCAGATAAGCTGTAGGACTACTTTCAGGATTACGATAAATGATTGCATTTTTGTGTGACAGCAGTTGCATGCACACAACTCCAAATGTGGACAGAAAGAGGAGGTGAAATGTCTGTCTGCCAAAAAGGGTCTCCAGAGAAAATTATCCTTGCAGTCTCACTGACTGCGTATGTTTTATAGTCTTGTGCTGTGCTGCATATTTTCTTTTTATTACTGTGCACCACGTTTATATGCCCTGCAGACAAAACAGTCGATAGTCACGATGTTGACCTAGTATTCTATATATGGCTGTTTAGGAGTTTTCCACCGTTAAATTTAAAATGTGTGAAAGAGGACCCTGCTTCAGGACTGTTCGTCGTTACTGTCCTATTTAATGGTTTGACAGCCTCTGTGGCTCTTCTCATTTAACATCTTGGGGAGACAGACTGGCAGCAGAAGTAAACTGAAACCTGGTTGTATTCAGAATGGGATCCATACTTGTAAAGGGAGAATTTTTTTTAAAGCAAAGGCATGTGCTTTTTCTAAATTAAAATCGAACGCATTTTTGTCAAAATAGAATCCCCTGGTCCATGTGGTGTGCAGTCATAACTTTGTCTAAAGTCAGATGATTATAAAGCTAATTCCAGCTTTGTGCTGTTTGGTGGAATAGCTAAATCTGTTCCCGCCATTATTTGTAACATCCTGTTCAACAGTGATAACTGTGACCTCCATATAGTGTCAGTCAAAAGTTAATTTGACTAACGTGTTTGTTCCTTTAAGGTGAATGTTTGCACATCTGCAAAATGTGGCACCCTGGTGGTAGAGTTTCACACATACTTGTCTCCTTCGCCCCCCCCCATAAACGTATTACTCACAGGGTGAGCATGCATAGAATGTATTAGTAGCTATTCCTTTCTATCACTCAGCTATCAAGTATTGGACACTCAAAAAATAGAACTGGGCCGATGTGAGACTGTCTGCATATTGTTTACAGGATATTTCAGATCTGGGGAATATTACTGAGAGTCAGCGTCACTGTGGCAGTCGGTGCTGCAGCACGGAGGCTGCTGGATCAAAAGCTGTGTATGAGAAGTGCCAGAAAAGGGCACCCGAAGTAGTCACTGCAAAGGAAGGAACTCCTGTATCTTTCGTCGGCTGGCCCTGGGCAGGCTTTAAGGGGGGGAAAAATTATTTTTGAAGAAGTTATGAAGTCTGAAGAAGATCCTGAAGATGGAGAAAATATAGTTGGGGATCCAAGCTAAGTGAAGGATGGAACAACATGAATGTAGGGCAGAAACAATAGTGTATTGCTTAGAGCAGCCTGTTTTGAACTCTGGTTGGGGACTTGCCTTGTAAACGGCAGCAGTTTGTAACTGAATACGAGGTAAATTGTTTGCTGCTGACAGCAAGGAGCTGCAAGTTCTATGATGAGTTGTTGGTTTTCCTGTGCTGATAAAAACACAGTATGTACCTTGTATTTCTTCTTAATGGAAGAGAGATTTTGGTAGTAACCCTTCTTGCCTGTCTTTATGTTTTGTAAATATTCAAGCTGTTCCTTATTTAGCATCAGTGTTATATGCAGCCATATTAATAGTGCGTAAATGGTGTTTCTTGTTGGGAGTTTCTTCTACAATAAGGTTAATAGAAAGAGTGCTGTGGGCAATTTCTTGGTTCAGTGAACCATAATAAATTGACTGAAAATAATCTCTGCAGAAGTCACTGACCCTTATATTGTATCTTTTCTTAGGACTTGATATAGAACTTTTTATACTGTTTATTTTAATCACATGACTATATGAATTATGGGTATAACACAATAAATAGTGGTTTCATTTGAAATATTTCTCATTTAAAAAGGTTTATGGAAGAGGGTTTTTTTTAATTTCTTCCTTCTTGCAGAAGTAAGAGCTTGAAGGTTAAGCCTGAAGCTCTTTCACAATTTAAAGCAGCTGTCTTCATGCAAAACATTTTATTGGATTCCCTTTGAACTTATCACACTGAATATATCAGAGCAGTGTTTTTCAGCCTTTTTTCATTTGTGGACTCCTAAAACAAATTTCAAACGGAGGTGTGGCTCTTTGGACATTTAGAGGCAGCAAGAGGATGCTCTATGTAGACTTTAAATCTACATACATATAAACTTGCACATGCAAAGAAATTTAGATGTGATAAGAAACAATGCCAGTTTTCAGAGCAAAACAACATATCCTCTCTAGTATAGCATACATGCAAGCTTAGTATGGCAGCAACAAAATGGAAGTTTAGCCCTAGCTAAACACCAAAGGTGTGTGTTAATACAGTAAAATATTGCTAATTTAGATTGACTTGGAGAGAAATTCACAAATAGAATTTAATTGACAAGTCAATGAACAGCAGGAGCAAGGGTGGGAATGCACTACAAAACCCACTTCAATTTGACAGTTATTTACTTGGTATGTCAGGCACTGAGAGTGTCCGTTGGTAGGATGGTTTGTGAAAGGGATTTTATCCTTTATTTTATTACAGTACAGAACAGAGGTTCCAGCCAGCTTGCAGTTCCATTGTCTAGGCATGCTGCAGAGTAAGAGTTGCTTCTTCAAATACCAATCTGAGACTGTCACAGCACCTTAGTATTACTAGAGAGGTTGCTATTTGAATGGATTCTCTGAGCCACTGTATTAAATACACACGAGAAGACTAATGGTACCTAATGAGGCAAAGTTTCTATAATTAACTTTTTTTGTCCCAAACTTAGCTTAAAAAACAACACATTTTTGTGACTGGACTCTTGTTTGTAAGTACATTTTCTTGTTTCCCTTCCTTCATGTGTGTGTAAAGACTGACCAGGCTCATCTGTTCGAAGATCTAGGAATGAATCCTAGGCTGATGTTTTTGACAACTTAAGACTGGAACAAAATATTTCTCTCAGTACATACATTTAAATGATGCGTTAACAATGTCAGTTTTCAGTGTTTTGTTTTTTTATATGAGAGAAGAAATCATTCAGCCTCTTTTCTTTGGAAATTCGGTTAGGCTTGCTTGAAGGCTAGTTCTCACTAAATCAAGAACTTTAAAATGTTTGTATTTGGGAACCTACTGCTGCTGGAAATAGCTTTAAGTTGCTGTTTTTAGTGCACTGTAGAGACACTCCACATAGCTGCAAGTTTGGCTAACATTCCATTACAATCCTGTCTCTCTCCTCTTACCCCCCCAACCCTAATCCCCCCCTCCTCCCTACACCTCCTCCCGTCCTCCCTACACCTCCTCCTCCTGCCAGCAATTTCCCCACTACTGAATTGATCAGTCTGAAATGGTGCATGCAGAATCTTAGCTCAGAGTAGCATTTTTCTGGAATGTAAAGGGCAGTTCAGAGTGACCTGTATGCCTCTGAACCAGAAATGGAAGTGAGTTTCACTTACTGGGGCAGGTTCCTCAGACATTTTGGCTTGTTGTATCTCTTAGAAATCCCAAATTTGGGGCGAGCAGTGGTTGTTTTGGTGTCGGAGTGATGCTTAGTGTGTGAATTACACAAATCATGTTTAAATGACTAAGTATCTTATGAAATCTGTGTAGCTTAGTCCTCTGCAGGCCATTTGAAACAACTCTGTGAACTCTCATTTTTGTTCACTCTAAATCAGGATGGGGAACCTGGCTTGCCTGGATCCAGCCCCCTGAGGCTTGGGGCTTGCTCCTCATCCTGCTCCTGTACTCCCTCTGCTCCTGCACCCAATCTTCCATCCACACCTGCACCGTACCTCCAGCTCAGCCCTACTGCCTAGGGTTGCCAGGTGTCTGGTTTTGAACCGGACAGTCTGGTATTTGAGTTTTCTGTTCGGGAAACCAATTGAGAAAATACCGGACTTATAAATGTTGGGCATTTTCTAATTAAGTTTTATTATTATCATGAGTATCAGTACGTAGCTGCATACTGCCTGGCTGGTAGAGACACCCACACTGCGTGAGCGTGTCTACCAGCCAGGCGGTATGCACCTACGCAAGTGGGGGCAGGGCCGGACGGAATCCCCCGGGGCCAGACTCCCCCATGTGCCCTGCTGGGACCATGTGTGGGATGGGCAGCACCCTGGGATCTGCATGTGCCTGGGCCAGCCCTGCTTCCCCTGACTCCTCCCAGCCAGCTC